CGTGGCTGCGGACAAGCCACCCGCTCGCCGCGCAGGACCGCGCACGCTGCCCCTTGGGGTCCAGCACAGCTCCGCGCGCGTTCCCGTCGGGGCGGGCGCGCTCTGGCGCACAAAGGCTCCCATGGCCTCCACCTTCCGAACTATCCGCGTGGCTGGCGTGGCAAGTTTGTTGTTGTTCGGTTGAATTTACAAAGATAACGTAATATTCCACATCGCCTAAGATAGTTCACGTGGTCTTTTTTGTAGTTTGCATTTCACATGCATAACCTTTCATTTCCCATCGGCACAAATCTTCGGCATATGGAACAGAAGCGTAACCAAAAACCAACGTTCAAACTTCGAACTGGATGGAGCAACCCAACCGACACTTGAACCGAACACCCGAATTCAACATCCAACAACACCCTAACCGAACACCCAACAACACACAGCTGTGCGAACACCCGAACCTAACACCCATTAGCACCGAACACCCAACAAAGCCCAACAACACCCAGCTGCCCGAACACACTAACCTAACACCCAACAACACCTTGATTGAAAGCGCCAGCCTAACGCCCGAACAACCTGGCTAATCTGACCGTTGCCCCCCTGGTAACTATGTCCCGGCGTTGTAATCCTGGGGGGAGGGGGGGCAAGCCTTGATTGTGCGACGCCGACGCCAAAGACTAACAGGAGAGGCAAAATCATAACAGGAAGAGCGCGATCATATGATATTAAAGAAGCAAGGGCAATCACGTAACTCCGCCTGAGGCGGCACTCTTCGCATATGCATCCCCTTCGGTGACGCCAGGCAACGCAGCGGGCGGTGGCGCTGCGGCTCGACGCGGCACCGTGGACAGCGCGCCGCTACTAGAGCGGGGCCTTTAGTTTAGGACGGTATTTCGGCGCCGTTTAGAGCCAGAGGGAGAATAGAACATGAGGCAGAAGGTCGGATATATACTTGTTGGGATGTTATGTTGCACGAGGGTCGGATCTAGAATCTAGAATATGGAGCAGAGGTCAGCATATATATATATATATATATATATATATATATATATATATATATGTATATATAATATACACAAATCTCCACCAGATGAAGGAGGTGCGACCCCAGCGCCGAGATACCCTTCTAAAGAAACTCATCACGTCCACCGCGTTTTCACTCAGCTGTGCGGGAGAATTCCGCCCCCTCGTGGGGGCACCGCCGACAAGCGGCAATTCGTGTCGACATTTCACTGACCACGATTTACATCTACGGGCGACGCTCGAAACGCGATCCTGTAGTCAACAATCGATTCGATACTCGACGCTCGACGCTGAATCCGACATTCGTCTCCACATTCGTCTCTGTATTCGAACAATGCAACGCCAAGTTTTATTAAATTCCTCGATACCGACAACAAGCTTGCAATACTTGGGAGTGCCAACATTTTGCGTGACTCGCCTGCTGTGCTCACGAATAGTTGCTCACGAATGGTTAGCTACAGTTTCGCTTGTTTTTCCAGATTGCGCAGAGTTTTCGCACGTTCTCATGTGATTCCGTAGGCGCATTCCTGGGATTAGACAATGTTGTTTGGGAGCTGTTTAAGTTAATCTTGTTTGCATAGTTTTTTGATGCTTCAATCCGTTTTCGTTCATTTGCGCTGGTGTGATACAGCCCGGTGCTACTACAAAGTCGTCACTTGTTGTCCCGCTTTGCCCCTCTGTCCCTCAATGTCTCTGGATGTCCCTGGATGTCCCTGGTTGTCCCTTTTTGTCCCTGTTCGATGTCCCTGGATGTCCCTGGGTGTCCCTATTCGTCCTTGTTTGTCCCTGTTTGTCCCAGTGATTCGATGTCCCTGTTTGTCCCTGTTTGCCCTTCGTTGTCCCTTGTTGTTCCTCGATGTCCCTCGATGTCCCCCTGTCCGATGTGCCTGTTTGTCTCTCCTAATCTATATTAATGCGTATAGTATTGATCGTTGTTGTTTGCAGATTCACATCGGTGAACTTAGATTGTCTGGGTTTATATGTGTCCCTCAATGTCCCTCGTAAGATGATGTCTTTTTGGCGTTTCATCGTGGCTTTGCGAGCGGTCGTTGCAGGGCGGACAAAGGCGGACATCGGGGGCCTGGAAGGGGGGAATCATTAGGGACATCGGGGGCCTAGCGCGGCCCAAATCGGCGGACATCTTCTCCCCACAAACCCAGAATTCAAGGACACTTGGCCCAGCAAGGTCCAAATCGGATGACAGTTGCTTATTCCAGCGAAAATAACTCCAAACAACTTTAGAAACTCAAGAAAACATGTTTCGCGTTTTTTTCATGCGTTTTTGTGCTCGGCCCCGAAACCGTGGACGTTGGGCCCTGCCTGGGGCCCGAAAGCGTGGACATTGGACCACACTGAAGCCCAAATTCGCGGACATCGGACCCTGCCGTTCCGAAATTCCAAAACCCACGCCGCTGCCGGGGACCTTCCACGCCGGCCACGAGGAAACATTGGAGACTTTGGACCGTTATAGATCAGATTTATCAGG